GAAACTGATCAACAAATGCTTTTAATTAGATTATTTTTAGAGGGATTTTTCATTGGTGACTACCAACATTTCATTGACACTTTTAATCTATCAAGACAACCTAATATCTTATTACTAAGAGTTAGTTCTTTCTATCATTATTTTACTTTACGTGCTGTTAATGGGAATAATATAACATTATAATATTGTATTTTTCAAGTATGTATCTTTCAAAATAAGGATGTGCATATGCTACAGTAAGTTCACCACTAAAAGCCTAATTCTGTTTTCACCACATATTAGTCCCCTTTGTTCTGATTATCCCACTCCTGTCTCTTTAGTTTAATGATCACATTAGAATAATTATCACATTTAAAAGTTTCCTCATATCGGGATATAAAGTAACAAAATATGAGATCAATACCCAAGAATAGCTGAGATCAGCACCAGGAGGATTACTCCATAGCTTAGTGGCCAGTCGGGCATTTTAGAGGAAAGGGCAGCTCAGATAGAGAAGGGAACACCAAATAAAGGGTGTTTGGAGGATCCTCCCAGAATGGGAGATGCATGTTGAAAGTAGACTATGAACCGAACATGATTGCCAGTCAATGCCTCTTTTACAGACCACAACACCCAAAAGGAGAGAGAGAACAAAAGGGAATGTCCTGCCACAGAGGCAGGGTAGGATGGGGGGGGATAGGGGAGGGAGGGATACTGGGATCCGTGGTGGTGGGAAATGGGCACTGGTGGAGGGATGGGTGTTTGATCATTGTATAATCGAAACCCAAGCACAAAAAAATTGTAAATCTGCAACTGTACCTCATGGCGTTTCACTAATAAAAATAAAATAAAATAAAATAAAATAAAAGTTTCCTCATATTGTCTTAAATCCTGCACGCTGAACATAATGCTTTTGCTTTACAACAGAACTCTGAGGAATCCTATTAATATTCCAGTTCCTCAGTTTCAGGGGTTTATGTAACAGAGTAATAAAAACTCAATAGATTTTGGTCAGTTACTGAAAATTAAAATACAAGTGTTTTCCTAAGAGATTATTTTTAAAATGTCTTCTTTATCAAACGTGAATTTCATTTGTACTCTACAACTAGTCAATGCGATTTCCTTTTCTCCTGTTTCTCAGAAGATTTGCATGATTATTGTGAGCTGTGGTTTGCCTTTACAAGATTCTCCCATGATTCACAAGTAAAATGCTCCTAATTTTAAAAGTTAAAAAAAATCTTGAAACATAAAAAATTTTAATATCAATTAATATCTATAGTCATAAATTATTAGACAGTGGGGGAAATCTATATTAAATCTGTGTAAACAGGGAAAATGAATGTGCATATTTTACTGAATCTAAGAGTAGTTTTTCTGTTTTCTGTGCTGGGATTAAGATGGTTTCTCATTGAGAAGTCAGACAACGTAACTAAGTCCCGCTGGCAGAAGGATATTTAAATTCCTATTGGCACACAATTAGGAAGAACCAGAGAAAGAAGGAAAAGGGGAAAAAAGGGGGTGAATTTGGAGAAGAAATTAAAATTAGAAAAAAAATAAACAGGCATATTCTTCTAACTAGGCAAAGCAAGTAAATATTATTTAATCAGGGGCTGGAGCGATAGCACAGCGGGTAGGGCGTTCGCCTTACACGCGGCCAACATGGCCGACCCGAGTTCGATTCCTCCGCCCCTCTCGGAGAGCCCGGCAAGCTACCGAGAGTATTCCATATGCCAGACACAGTAACAACAAAGTCTCCAATGGAGATGTTACTGGGCCCGCTCGAGCAAATCGACGATCAATGGGAGGGCCTTTACCTTTACCTTTAGAGAACTAGCATAATGGGTAGGGAACTTGTCTTACATGCAGCCCACCTGGATTCAATCCCCGGCAAGCAATATAGTCACCCAACCTTCACCAGGAATGATCCTGGAGCACAGAGCCAGGAGAAATCTTTGAGCACCACAGGATGTGGCCCCAAAACAAAACCATTAAACAAAATTATATACACAATATCTTTCTTCAATCACATGGAATTTTCAAAACAAACAAATTTAAAAAAACAGTAGGCTAGTATTTACTGCAAATGCTTAAATGACCAAGGCAATTGTGGAGGCAAATATTCAACTTCTCTTGAAAAAAACAATAATAAGTTTACATTTATTCATGGGCTGGAGTTATAGCACAGCAGTAGGGCGTTTGCCTTGCACGGGATGGGCCCGGCCATCCTGGGTTCGATTCCTCCGCTTCTCTAGGAGAGCACGGCAAGCTACCAAGAGTATCTCGCCCAGTATTCGATTCGCCAAACATAGTAACAACAAGTCTCACAATGGAGACGATACTGGGCCCGCTCTACCAAATCGATGAACGGAAGGACAGTGAGACAGTGCTACATTTATTCATAGTTCATTTGAATAAGAAAGTTCCAAAATTGCTTTTTGCTTGACAAAACTGAATACTGTCAACCTTAGGTTTACAACAGAGATACTTAACCTAGGTATTTAAAAATAATTTCTGAATAAATGTATTTTAAATGACTCATTTGTTAATAAAAATCTACTATTAAATACTTGTGTTTGAGTGGTATTTTAACATCTAGTTTTTTAAAGTAGGACATTTGTTCCAGACATTTAAAAGTTAATGTGTAATCTAAGGCAAGTATTAGTTCAACTATATTTCAGCAAAGTCTAGTAACATTAAAAAATGGTAATATTTATTTATTATTATTTTATTTATTTATAACATAAATATTTATACAAATATTTATTAACTTATTTATAAATATATAAATTATTTATAAACATTTATAAATAACTAATGTTTATTAAAATAAAATATTTTTATTTATTATATTTTTTATTATTTCACCTGTATAATATTAGCACAGCGGTAGGGCATTCACCTTACAAGCGGCCAACATGGCCGACCCGAGTTCGATTCCTCCGCCCCTCTCGGAGAGCCCGGCAAGCTACCGAGAGTATTCGATATGCCAGACACAGTAACAACAAAGTCTCCAATGGAGACGTTACTGGGCCCGCTCGAGCAAATCGACGACCAACGGGAGGGCCTTTACCTTTACCTAATATTTTATATATATATATATATATATATATATATATATATATTTTAGGGAGTTAGGCGTCACAGTTGGACGTTCTCAGAGCTTACTCCTGACTATGTGTTCAGGGAACACTAACAATGATGCTTGGGGACCACAGATGGTGCCTGGAATTAAAATAAGACCAACTTAAATGCAAGGCAAGTGCCTTCATCTCTGTTCTTTTCCCAGCTCCCACATAATGTTTTAGAAATTGCTGCTTGAGATATCTAATTTGTCTATGATAAATAGAGCTAAATTTGACAAATAAAGCCACTATTTATTAGTTTATATAAAAATATCAGTAAAATTCATTTTTCATTTTTTATTCTATTTATAAATGAATGTTTCCACCTGTAAATTGGCAACATTAATATGAACACTTCTATCACCTTGAAGGTTTGAAGGATTTAAGGAGTGTTTGTGTTGCAAAATATTTGAGGGTTTTTATTTTTAATTTTTTTGGTTTGTCTCTGATTTTGCTTTGGGCCACATCCAGCTAATATTTGAGTTTTCATCCCGATGAATTTAGCACTGTATTAAATTTTTCATATGTTGTGTTACATTGAAACATTGAAATATAATGGGCTCATTATATTGCCAACAATGGAAGCTGTTTACAGTTAATTAATTAGTGACCCCCAGATTTATTCTTTTTCAATTTTTTTGGCTTATAAAGATATGTTTTTTTTTACAAAAACTACTTAGCACATTTGTTACATTATGTGGCAGGTCTTGACTGGAAAGGGAGAGCTGATACAGATAAACAATGTATTGATCTGATCCAGATAAACAATGCTAAATAATTCATTTACAAATGTTTTGGGAAGAAAAAGAAATGAAAAAAGTATGGCAATCTGTACACAGTATAAATATAATTTCTATTAATTGTATTTTGAGAGGTGTTACATATAGGGCAAATTAGATATTTAATAGGAGAAAAAAATCTTGCCAGAGAAGTTGGGAATGACCTGTTTGTGGTTTAAAAAATGAGAAGTGAGGGAAGAAAAGAGAGAAGAGAGGCAGGGAGGAGGGAAGGAGGGAGGAAAGGAGGGAGAGAGAGAGAGAGACAGAGAGTTACTGTTGCTATTTATGTGAGGAATACCAGTAAGATGATGACTCAGAAAAAAAAATGAGACCATTTTTTCCTGTTTCTCTTGCAAGATTGTTAATTCATTAATATGTGACTCTAGTCATCAGAATAGGAAAGAGAAGTCACCCTGCTGAGTTTGTCAAAGACGAAGGAGTTCCCAAGTGGGAAATAAAGAACCTGACTGTGATGATTTTTTACCCAAGAATTTAGGAAAGAAAAGATGACTAATGAACCCCCAAACTTGGATGGAAAGAAGTTTCTTCTGTTATGACGTGAGGAATTCAGACCAAACAGAAGCTTAAGAGATTTCATTTGGGGCCAAAGTAATAGAGCAGCAGATAGGGTACCTGGTATGTAGCAGATACAGGTTTGATTCCAGGTATCCTATGGTCCCCAAGCATCATCAGGAGTAATTCCTGCAAAGTCAGGAATAACTCCTGAGCATCAATGGGTGTGGCCCCCAAACAAACAAAATAGCAAGAAAAAAAAAGAGAAGAGATCTCATTTAAAGTATCAGAGTGAAATTGTGTTGTCAACCATTCTAAGAAAATTAAAAAAATAATACACTTGCAAGATGAACTGATAGGCGAGAAAAAGTCACTGCTTGATGCAAACCCAGAGGATGCCTTAGGCTTTTCCTTGTTTGCAAGACTTGCCATTGGAGAGTATGTAGATAACATGTTGGAAAACATTTTCCCAATAAACAATTCCTAACATTACTTTCTTTAGGAAGGTAGGGATAAAAAAAAGAGTAGTACAATATGCAAGTTTTGTTTTACTTTTTGACATTGCTTTTACCAGAATTCACATACAGAAAAAATTCTCAAAACTTACATCTCTTCCGATTAGATCCTCTTGATTTTCTACAATCCCCCAAGGAGCGATTCCTATGGTACAAATTTTTCCTCGGGACTTAGATGCGTGGTCCTTCAAAGCATCTCCAACATGACGAATAACACCTAGCAGGAAATATAAAAATGACTTTAGTCTTTTAAAGCAATTACTTTCCATCATTCTACTATTGAGAGAAATGGTTTAGATTTTTAAATGCATTAATTCGTATATTTTTACATATTTGTACTTAAATTATATGTATTTAGGAGAGTACATAAACTTGTGTCTTTAATGCCAATTATATTTGCTGGATCTGTATATGAAGTCTAGCAAAGCATTTCTTACTTAGGTTTCTATGAAAAAAAAAGAGAAATATCTATGAAAAAAATAAAGAGTTTTAAACAAAGATTCTTTTCTATTGTATCATGTAATATATTATTTATGTATTAAGAATGGTGATGTGTTAGTATTTTAGTACGGCCCCTGATACCATAAGTAAAGTATATGAAATATATCACAGATAATATTAAATTTATACCACAATATATGTATGAGTTAGTTCATATTTTGTTACTGTGTATTAATATAGTGTGGAAGACCTACTTAAAAATATTTATCATAGTCTGTGGAAAACCTAAAATACTGTTTTTAGGGGCTAGAGTGTTCAGCAGGTTTGTATGCCACCAATCTGGGTTCAATGACCAGCACCCCATAGGGTCCCTTGAGTACTGCCATGAGTGAACTCTGAGCAAGAGTCGGGAGTAAGTCCTGAGAACCACTGGGTGTAGCCCAAACACCAAAAATAAATAAAATACTTAAAAAATTTCCATGTTACAGGTTCTGACAAGCCTCATCCATGAGTGAATCTGTTGTAAAACTCAGGCATGTGGTACTTGTGACTCAAATCTCTAGGTTTGCACAGAGTCAGGAATGGGTGACCTCCCCCCATCATCCTGTTTCTGGTAGCCTGGCAGTCATACCTAAGAACTGCCTCTGGTGCCATATATGCTCATTAATAACCATGTTCAGAGACTCGGAAATAAATATCATGAAAGAAAGCAACACAGAACTATATGCCATAAAGATACCTCCAGACTCCAAAGTCACCATTCAATTAAAAATATATTAAATTAACCTCATAACACTTTTTAAAATTTTGGAATTCCTGGAGCACATGGCTGTGAATGCAACACCTCATACTCTACACCACTGAAATAACAAGAGTAACACATAACATTTGATGGAATATAACCTAGAGGGCAACCCATCTTGGGGAGAAAAAAATTGTGTGTGTGTGTGTGTGTGTGTGTGTGTGTGTGTGTGTGTGTGTGCTCACTCACATGCAAGGCTCAAACTTCAATAGCATATTAATAATTCTTGTATAAGGACTTAATGACTTCGGGCTGAAATAAAACAATCGTCACACGCTTTCCTCTAAGGAAATTTTTTGGGATCATCTTTAGTGGATTATTCATAATAAGCAATACAGAAAGAATTAAGTCCTGCTTTGGTGAAAAGCATTGGGGGTTAGGGTGGAACCATTTAAAATGTGGTGTTGGGTAGGTGTAACGGTGGTGGGATTGGTGATGGAATATTAAATGTAACACATTATTGTGAATAACTATAAAAATAAAATTTGAAAAAGAAAAAAAATCTCCATGTTGATTCTTTCCTCTTTATATGGCCTTCCCTGTCACCATGCCCTTCCCCACCAATCTATAAATGAGCAAATTTAGTTTATAAAAGAGTAGGGAACTATTTCTTTTTTATTCCTTTATAAATGTGAAATAGTTTTAGTGAGGAAAGATGCTAGTTCTAAGGAGAATATGGTATTCTGAGAGAGAGAGCAAAGAAAAGGCCCAAAGTAAAGGGAATTTAAACTCTGATGAAAGATTGCAGGGAACTTCGCTTTTTTTTTTTTAACAATTTAAATAAGACAATTTCTAATTAAATAATTAAATAAGAATCAGGGACGCTGTCTCGTCTGCCAAGGTGTCAAAAATCAGATGGGCTGGACACGTAATGAGATTTGAAGATGACCGCTGGACTAGAGCCATTACCGACTGGATTCCATGGGGCATCAAAAGATCGCATGGCCACCCACCTACGAGATGGTCAGACTTCTTCATCAAGACCCTGAATGATTGGTTTGAGGCTCTTCGTGTTCCTAGAACGAGCAGATGCCATTGGACTACACTAGCACGCAACAGGGATGAATGGAGACGTTTACTGGCGCCCGCTCGAGCAAATCGAGGAGTAATGGGATACCAAGTGATCAAGTGAATTTCTAATGATTCAATCTCCCTTTCAGATGATAACTTTTACAAAAGCAATAACATATGTTCTCAAGAGGAATTTCTTATTCTTATCAAAGTTCCATTCATTCTTCTGGGAAAAGATTATTTTCCATTCCAACTCCCCCAAATTTTTTTCATTTTTGAAATGTACCCAGTGGCATTCAGGGCTTACTTCTGACTCTGAGCTCTGGGATAACTCTTGGAGAATCTCAGGAGACTATGTAAGGTGCTAAAACCAAGTTTGGCCACACGCAGGACACGAGAGAGAGAGAGAAAGAGAGAGAGAGAGAGAGAGAGAGAGAGAGAGAGAGAGAGAGAGAGAGAGAGAGAGAGAGAGAGAGAACAATACCCACTGTACTATCTCTCCGGCTCCCTAGTGCCATGTCTTCTATTAAACGGTAGTTAGGATTATGCCTGCATTTGAACAGGATTGCAACTTGCATATCTTTAATAGGTCACTATATTTACCTAACATATCTTAAACACAATTATGACACATGAGGATGTTCTTCTGATAAATCAATTTTCTCAAGAGGAAAATTGGAGGTTAATTATCTTATGCATCTCTGTCAGTCTCTGGGGTTTGTATAGAGTAAAGACTCAGAAGACTCAGATGACTTAACTCAGTCATCTCTTATGAGAAAGGAGAAATATGTGTGAACAATGTAATCTAAAATATTTATAAGACTATGAAAGATAGCATTTTAATAATCAAATAACAAACTAGTGTAAATAGCCACTAATTCATGTTGAGGTATGCTGGGGATATTAAGAAGAATATTAACTTCGTTCACTAGCTTACAAGTGAATCTTCTACATTAAAATAAATGCAATATAAAGCAGTGTTATGAGTGGTTTCCTCCACCCCCTGTGATATGCAGAACTCCTTCTGGGGCAAGTCCATATTACACCCCCTGTAATATGCAGAACTCCTTCTGGGGCAAGTCCTGGAGCAGAAATTTAGCTTTGTGATATGGCCCTTCAATTGCCCCATTATTCTACAATTACTTTTACTTACTGGAGCATGACCCCATTGGAAGCTTTCTTTGATTGTGGCATTGAACTGGCACTGAGCTCAGAGAAAAACTCTTTGGGTCCGAATATTTGTACTTTATTTTTTTCAGAGTAACTGTACCTTTTGATACTATATAAAATCTCAAAATAATAAAAATATTTAACAATGTTTCCATATAAAAAACCTTTTATTTTGAGTCACTAGGAATACTGAGATAGTATCTATATGAAATGCTGAGTACTCCAAGATCAAAAGACTGAAAAATCATAGACAATATTGCTTGCTAGATTGTAAGTTAGAGCCTAAATCCTAAACAGTTATTGAAATACAAAATAAAATACATTAGTAGATATTTGACTGATAAAGGATATACAGTCAAGAGATAACTGAGTATGAAATGTTAGAATCTTAGTTTATAGATGGTGTCATGATTTCAGAGAAAAGCAAAATGAGGGGCCCAAGAGATAGTACAGTGGGTAATGCACTTGCCTTGAATGTGGCTGACTCAGGTTCAATTCCCAGCAATATATCTCATTCCCTGAGCACTACCAGGAATGGCCCCTGAGCACAGAGCTAGAAGTAAGGCCCAGACATAGCCATGTGTGACCTTCCCCCCATCCCCCCACTTCCAAACAAAAATGAAGAGCGATTAGCAAGGTACACTATTAAAATGTGACATTGGAATTGTGCACTGAATATTCACAGACTCTAGGTATTGGGGATTTGAGAGTAGATCTTCCTCACACAAATTATAAACCCAAACATTATTCATCTAACATTTTATTTGGTTGGTCCAGGGCTATGACCTACTTTCTACAATGTGCTCCCATAAACAGACTTTGAGTATTAAATCAAGTTTGAATGAACTTACTGCAGCATGACTTGTATTCATCCAATTGGTACTTCTAACTCAGGCAGGGAAAATACCAAAAACAATTTACAGATATCCAGCTCAATGTCTGTTGTGCATTAATCATGTTCTACAGAGAAGCACTTAACTATAAGTGGGTTTGCAAGAATTGATTTGGCAGCCTGCCTGTATCACCATGCAGGAATTCATTTGGCAAATAGAGAAAACTATAATTCGGAATGGCTGTGTCTTTCATTGGTACAGACATCATTTAATAAGATATCTTGACTAATAGACACAATACTGTGTATTTTACTGTCACAATTTATGTCCAAGGTGTAAAGGGTATTTTACCAAAAAATAAAGCTATTTATGTCAAAGTTAGAATCATTTAAAGAATAGAAGTAGAACTTTAATTTAGAGCAAAGGATATTATATAAGGAATTTTTGAGTATTTATTTATGAAATTTAGGTTTCGAAAATACTCTGTGAGATTTCATTACCCATTTAAAAAGTTTCTGTACAACCAAGTGTCAAGTATTTCAACCTGGTCCTTATGTGTAAGTGATTCTTGATTGAGAAATAACAGTAAAACTATCAGTTAGGTAAAGGACGAAGATGCAATAAGAAGAGATATACAGCAAATTTGGACCCAATGGGTAGCAGAAGAAATTGAATAAACATGTCCAATCTTAGGAAAAATGATTTTAGTCAAAGTGTTCTCACGACCTTACGTTGTGTTTGTCCACTTACAATTACCTGTGTTTACCCCTCCAGTAAATATCCATGCTCCAGTTGTCATGGCCGCCTTGATGAGACCTTTCCCAAAAACCTGCTTGAGTTTTGGCTGGAGCTCAAAGTTCTGGAGGCCACCATGGACAGAGATGAGGAGCTTTGGAAGCTCCAACTGCCATTCCTTGGTCATCAGGTGTAGGAGAAGATCCGGTTTCGTATCAAAAGAGACTCGCACATACTAGAAGAAGAACAGCCACGAATTAGGGAGATAGGTTTTTATGGCAGACATTTGTGTCAGTATTTGAAGAAAGTATCTTACATATAAAATCAGATGTTTGAAGAGGGACGAATCATTAGCTTCACCATTTTAAAAGGATTTTTAAAATTTTCTAAATTTTATCTGTCACAGGAATGGGTTCTTAAGGGTTTATATTTTATCAAAATTAACCTTCGTGCAAAAGCCCAAATGTTTCTGATATTTTCAATATAAGTAATCCTTTTAAGAACAACTGGACCTAGATATAATTGTTCCTGTGACCCTATTCTTTTTAGAGGTTGTGAGGGCCTATAGTTTTATACAACATAATGAGAATTTAAAAGAAGGTAACAGTGTATGTGTTCATTTTACTCTACAATAAATGCATGTGTTTTCTTTATATTCAAAGAAGGGAAGCAGGAGACATTTCAATTTTTCTTATAGGGGAATTGAAAAAAAATGAAGTGTAAGCAGGCATCCAGATTCTATTAGGTACATTCAGATATAAATTTATAATAATAAGTATTTGTAAATGAAAATCCACAAACAATATTAAACATTTGTACAATTTTAACGAATAATCATGTAGGTCTCAGTTTAACCGTACAAAATTTGTAATCTCTAACTGAAAACAACTGAATTATCAAGCACTTAGGCTTGGTAGTCTTCTGAAATACACTGCTGATTTGGAATGAAATATTCAAAATATTTAGATTTGTAGACAAAATGGAAGCTGGAACTGTAGAATAGTAGGAAGGACTAAAGAGTGCTAGCTCTGAAGGCTTCTTTCTCCTAAACTTTGAAGAGACTGCTTTTCTGAAGAATGAAGTATCCCTCTTCAACTGAACTACTTCAAAGGGCTTTACTCTCTAGTATAAGGAAGACAAAGTCAAAAATCTGGTCTAAGGAAGAAAAATCGAGTATGAACCAAAGAAAAATCAAATATTAAAAAAAATCAAAGATAAAAAAATCTCTAGTCTAAGGAAGAAAAATCGAGTATGAACCAAAGAAAAAGGCGAGGTAATCTACCTTTCTTGACTTTGATTTTACGTGGGCTGAGAAGAAGTTTTCTTTTGATTATTTAACAAAAGCATGCCTCACACAATATGATCCATATTTATACTTTCAATGTGGATTGAGAAACATCAAATAGAAGATTCAGTGTGAAATGGTTCTGGAAGGGTAATGAATTGTCCCAGAAAACTAATGTGCACAAGCACAGACGCTTGTGAAGGAATGAAGTATCATGCAAGACTCACATAATTCTCATGAGAAAACAGTATTTCATAGGGAAAAAATAAAACTAAAAACTACACAAGGAAGCAAAGCAACAATCGAGGGGCTAAAGCAAAACCAAGCAACAACAAGAAGGAAGAATAATAGGTAATAGAATATAATCTTCAAAGATGTTTAATGATCAAAGAAGTTAAAATGATTATCTTTAGTATGCTTATCTTTGGTGTGGGGGCACCACACCTGGCATTGATCAGTGCTTACTACTGGCTCTGTACTTAGGGATCCCTTGTCGTGGGACTCAGAGAACTATATGTGGTACTGAGGATTGAACCTGGTTGCCGTGCGCCATCCTACTGCTGTTCTATTGCTCCTGTCCTAATACTCTCTTTTTAAAAAGAAAGAAATGAGGGCCATCGTGAAGGTTCAAAAAGCTAAGTACATTCCCCTCTGTTCTCTCTCTCCTTTTGGGTGTTGTGGTTTGCAAAAGCAGGGTGGGATGGGGGGGGGATGGAGGGTGGGAGGGATACTGGGATCCGTGGTGGTGGGAAATGGGCACTGGTGGAGGGATGCGTATTTGATCATTGTATAATTGAAACCCAAGCACAAAAATTTGTAAGTCTACAACTGTACTTCATGGTGACTCACTAATTAAAAGAAAAAAAAAAGAGCGAGAAGGAAGGTGCCTGACACAGCGGCAGGGGGAGGGGTGGCTGGGGGATACTGGGGACATTGGTGGTGGAAAATCTGCACTGGTGGAAGGATGGATGTTCGATCTTTGTATGACTGAAACTCAATCATGAAAGCTTTGTTACTGCATCTCATGGTGATTCAATAAAACAATTTAAAAAAAAATGCTAAGTATGTTTTTCACATTCAGGAGCCTGATGTTTGATCTTCGCATCACATGTTCCCCTAGATACTACTGGGGGCAAACCGCCCCCCAAATAAAAATAAATACAAAGAAAATTGCATCTATAAATAAGGATTAAGAGAAAGCAATAAATAACTATAGGCCTTCTAGTGTAAACAAACAAGCCGCACTCCCAACTCTAGATATGAAAAGCTAATAATTTAAATTAAAAATACTTCTGATAAATAAGCTACAGATCAGATGGACTAATGATGGACTGAGGCTGGTGGGTGGGAGTGGGAAATAGATAAACTTAGAAAAACACTATATATAAACACTGTCCTCCCATTGTTTATCCATTCACTCCAGTGGGCATCAGTAAAATCCATTTTGAGATTTGTTACTGTTTTTGGCATATCTGATACATCACGGGGAGCTTGGCATGCTTTGTCGTGTGGGTGGGATACTCTAGGTAGCTTGCTGGGCTCTCAGAGAGGTGCAGAGGAATCGAACCTGAGTTGGACACATGCAAGGCAAATGCCCTATCCTCTATGCTATCGCTTCAGTCCAGGAAAAACAAAATAATTGAAAATTTTAAAAGAACATTTGATTATTTGGAGGTAAATCAGAATTCTGAATAGAAGTAAAAGAGATAGTGGGAAGATGCAAAACTTTAAGAGATATTGGCTGAAAATGTCTTCATTGTTGTTGAGACAGCAGCTTTCCATCTAGAAAGCTCCATGAATTTCAAGTCAGATAAATACAAAGATATCATACTCAGACACTCACTATTCATAACACAGAAAGGAGGGGGGGGAAGTTTTGAAAATGGCTAGAAATAGCCAGACTGTCTATAAAAAAATTGTCATTGGTCAAGGACTTATTGCTCACACAACAACAATGGGAAGTGAAACCTGGACCAAGGATACTCTCTTCATCTGTCAGTTTGGATCCTCTAGTTGCAAAAACATGGTTTTTTTGTAAAAATGAGTACATTGTGAATATTAAGAATTCATAACTCTCAATGAAATTATGGAATCAGGCAAAAGTTATGTCATCCAAAATACATGACACAGGATGCACGAATTCGGAATGGCAAAAGAGGTTATAAGTAATGTACATAAAATTTAAAACCAAAATTGATTATAAACATAAAGTGATGAGAGCAGTCTAATTTGTAATATTAAGGGACAATACTGGATAATAGAGGAAGTATCCAAACTGTAATTTTCTAGTCATAAAACCATGCTTTCAAGGAGATCTTTTCCTCTTCAGTGATCAATTTCAGAACAAACTCTATATACAAGGATACCAGTTTGTATTCTGGCAAGAAGGTCTCTTTGTGCCTTCATAAACCATCATGGCAATCTTTATCTGTTTTTTGATTATTTCATCTTTGGAATTAATTGCTATATGCAAACTCCCATTATGCCTGTTAAGGTCCCTGCAAATTTAGCCTTATGCTAGTTACTTAGATGCTTCCCTCTACTCTTTTCTTCTTTTGGCTGGCATTGTCTCCCAAGTTCATTCTTTTGTATCTGTCATTCTTTTCCCTCAAAGGCATTTATTTGACTTTTCTGGAGAATGAAAGCTCATTCTGAGGTTTTGTTTGTATTTTGTGTTCAATCTGTCTCTTTATGCTGCCAGATCTTGTAGAAAAGTGTCCATGTTTGACCTAACCATGACTTTTGCTTAGTCTTTTCACAGTGCTTATGAAGTGTTTACAATCTTAGATTTTTTTTTTAAAAAAGAGCCCAGAAATATCTTAGCACATGGGGAAATGAAATCACTAAATTTTTCCACTTTATAGATTTGACTCAAACCTAGGGAAGGTGAGTGACTGGGATCAGAGTTACTATCGAATAACTAATAAATCTAATCCATAATTAAAGCTGCAGTGACATTGGAAATTCCTGGTTGGACTGTGCTTCAATTTTGCTTCTGAATTTTGAGACACACTTGGCTGTGCTCAGTCTTACTCTAGGCAGGACTCATGAGAATCCATGCTTGGCTTCGAGCAGGACAAAACTTTACCCACTGTACTAATTCTCTGGCACTAGGTTATACTTCTCTTTTTGTCCTAATATGTTTGACATACCCAGGGATTTTGTGGAAAACTCAAGTTCTAATTTACAGATCTGGAGTGGGGCTTCAGGTTTTGATTTTCTGACTAGTCACTCAGGCCACATGAGTAGAAAGGGTTATATATAATAGCTCTTCCTGGATCCACAGATTTTAAATGGTGTGCTTTGTGTGTGTCATTGAACCAAATGAAATCAAGAACACAATATTCTAAAACAAAATAAAAAAAATATGAGAGAAAACAGTGACACTGAAAGAATTACTCAGGCACAAAAAATAGGAAATTCCTTAGATGTAAGTTGGAAGCTTCACACATTAAAAAGGTTTCCCTAACTACCAAAATACTTTTGTATTTTTGTCCAGGACTAATTCTTATACAAAGAATACCTGATTCACTGCACTCCACCCCTGATTTTCCAGAAGCTGAAAAATAAGACAAACATTGGAGTCCTTTGATGTTTGTTATTGTTTGTGATTTACTGTGTCCTTAGAGAATAAAGGAAAGGTTTATTTTTTTTAAGGAAAAGGGAAATATTTAAATAAATCAATGTTACTTTTTGTTCATGTCATTATTTAAAAACCTCAAGTAAATGGGAGAGAAGACTAACTAAAAACTAAAGATTAAATCACACTTTATGATTATCTGGAAATGTTTATTTTTAAATGATTTTATATAGAAGGTTATTTAGAAACTCTCCAGGTACTTGCAATACTCAAGATTCAAGTGCTAACTCAAGATTCAAGTGCTGAACTGACATCTTCTAGGTCATCAGAGATTGTGTCCTGAGTGTTTAATCAATTTCTGCTAAATGGT